CAAGGTTACCAATATTATTGTGCATATTAGTGTGTAGCTCATCGCGTTAGAATTAGTGTTAACAAAAGGTAAAAAGGCAGATTGTTATTCTCATAGTTCATGAAAAGTATCATAGTTTCATTTAGATTAACCGAACTGCATTCGAATAATTAAGTATAAAGAATTATAGGTTCATATATCATTCTTGAGTAATTATTATATAGATGAACTATTATTTAAGCTAAAACCAGTTCTTTCAGTCTACACGAGAACAAAGAATAAATGAGTACCAGCGATATTGCGAAGAAGAGCAAGCAACAGTGGGTGACACCTTCCACAACCTCAGATGCTCCTCCTGATTTTGAAATCATTGGAATATGGTTTGGATACATTTTGACCGGCCTTTCATGGTTCATCGTTGCAATCACGTTTCCATTCTCGATGTGTTTTTGTCTGAAAGTCATCAAGGAGTATGAAAGAGTCGTTATTTTCAGGCTAGGACGTCTTCTGCCTGGTGGTAAGCTAATATATCATGAAAGCTTTATGATGTGACAATGAGTGTATAAAACAGTTTATATCTATGATGTACATGGCTGGCCATTTTTCGGAGGTACAAGGAAAATTAAAATGGGGATTCTTGTGACATTTAGTTATATCACCAAATTGAGCCATTTTGCCTCTGTGGGTTAAGAATAACATATCTGGTTCATGTAGTCCAAAGCAGGAAAACATCAATGATAGATTATTGAATTCCCGAAAAAGGCATTATATGACTGAATAAAGTGAGGTCAATTCGGTTTACTTAAATTGCGCCTGTCAATGGGTAATCTAAAGCTGATATACATATAATTTCACTGAAATCCTTTCGTAAATCAATAAATTAAAGTAAAAGTCACAAGCAGGTCTTTCAGTTTTGCGTAATTATATGTGTATTTAGGTGTCTTAAGGATTCTCTTATAAATCTTGTTCTAAACAAATTATTGACTTTAATTGTTTTAAAATATTTCCTGGACTGGTCATTGCGTAGGCGTAGGTGTTCCAGTGAACGAGACGGTTTGACTGCAAATTTTCCTGTCGTTACCAAGCAGATTTTATGCTTAGCTAATTTGCAGATTTAAGGAAATTTGTGCTCGATAATTTATCTATGTCCGGCGTAGACATGATTTGTGTTAAGTTCAAGTCAATTAAGCCATCAAGTGCTTAAATTTTCAGTGCTGCGAAAATGTTCAGCTGTTCTGCTTCCTATGGGATTATGAAATTTCTTAGGTTAACGACAGATAGTCTGACACTGAATCAAAATTTGGCAATTACATGATGTATTGCTCGTTCTCTCTTAATAAATGGACTAATTATTTTGCTGTTGATTCTAAGTTTTTTGCATAGAAGTTTATTTCTTTTCTTGTTCAATTGAGCTATAATTTAAAGAATTATTAATGCAAATTTCTTTAAAATCGACACATTGTGTTGAATGCCGAATTACATTTCATAGTATCTTATCTTCAATGCACAAAATTTTTATTCTTTATATATTTATTTTCGCTAATTTCACCAAAGCCTGTAGCTCATTCTGGAGAGAAACCTTATGAAAACTCGGTAAACAGTGTGAAATCCTGGAAAAAATTATTCACATAGAGAAAAATGTGCGTGATCTTTCCACATATGGAGTACCTATTAATGGCAGGTTGAGCAAATTCTTACGCGTAAAGTCTGAAGTCACGCAAGGAGTTGAATCTCACCTAGTGCTTGGAAGTCTCTTGACTGGGTGCCCCAGCCAATACGTAGAAGTTAACCTACGACAATGGCAAGAGTGAACAACCTAGACGTTAATTATCTTGCATTTGCCGATGATGTCGCATTGGCAGAGGACAACTTCTAAGTTGCACACTATTCTTTCTAACTCTGAAACAGACGTTCTAATCTCGGTTTCGCTTTGAATTTAAAAGAAAAATTAAACTGAATGAAACTTCCCGGAAAATTAGGCCAACGATTGACTTACCCTTGACACCAATGAAGTTTTAGAAACGATTTCAGAACATCTATGCTTCAACAGCACGTTGACTGTAGACGAACGAGCGAGAATCAGTGTGTTCCACACTGGCATTTTCGACCAGCAACGAGTTTAAAAGTTCTCAAGGGACAGTGATGCTGGCAATGGTACATAACTGCAAATATATAGAGCCTGCATTCTGAACATCACCACGATAACCTAAGGACAGCAACACTTGACAAAGCTGAGAACAGAAAACCGGAAGTAACGCAAATGAAAATATTAAGGTCAATCACTGAAGTGAAATGGAACAATCAGAAGTCAAATGCTGCTGAAGAAAGATCGAGATATCTGTTTAAAATGATCAATTGGCTACAAAAAAGGCGTTTCAAATTGTGATCCACTGCCAGCGAATGAACCATATCTGTCCTGCGAAGCGGATGCTGCCCGCAAAGTTTGGTGACAGGTGGCTGCCAGGAAGACCTCAAACAAGGTGCCGAGATCTCATAAGAAATGACGTAGTGTCGAACAGGCTGGTGAATGAGAGCATATTCATTCACTCCAGGTGTTTGTAATGTCTGTACGGTACTCGGCATCGTCTCTGATGAAATGGAGTAAGAAGTATAAGTCTACTGAACAGTTTTTTCTTCTTTCAAAGTGTGAATCGGCTGCCCAGTTTTAGCATAAAATGGCGCGATTAATGTTTCGATTAACAGTACATTGATCGCTCGTGTTGACAACTTGAAATAATGGCTAATGTGTCCCGGCCGAAATGCTGGTATTATAACAGAAGCTGTTGGATTAATGGAGTTTCAACTTTTGCTGGAAATCACGGGACCAAACGCAAGTACTCTTGATTTACGGAAAAACGAATTTCAGCTATTAAGGTTTACCAAACATTCTTGGCGTCGATCAGCAATTTAAAGATGGAAGAAGGGTAAAACGATACGGAACATATATGAATCTAGCGATCTGGCAACAATTTGGTGCCAAACTTCTGAAGGTGATGTCATAAACAGATAAATCCACTTG